AGTGTATGAAATCTGAAATTATCTGAAGCTATCTGTTTGAAAATCACTTTGTTTTTATATTTGTTCTAATCAGTTGAATGCTATAAATCTAATAATATTTTTAAGTTAATATTAAATACTCTTATAATAATATATAAATATATATATATATTAATATTATATATTACGTAATATATAATATACATACAATATATTACAAATATATACAATATACAATGTATACTTATATATAGTATTATAATATTATAAAACATTATTTAACATATTATTTACTTTTAAAAAATTATTTTCTACTTTAAATATCATATTCTACTTTATATAATATATTGCAAACTTTGCCTTTATATAATATATTGCAATATTCTACTTTATGTAATATATGCAAACATTACCGAAAAGTCATGTCACACAAAGAAACATTTGGAACTGGTACTCTAAAGGCTATTGCGGATATTTTGCCTTTAAGTTCAGGGATAATTTTGTCTAATGACTTGCCAGCTCCTGAAGATGTTGGAATGATATTTTGGAGAGCACCCCTACCATCTCTCCACAACTATGATACAAATATGATTATAACACATTTACTTAAATTAAAGTAAAACAAATTACTTGAGTTAAATCAATGTTAAAGTTTAAAATAATATTATCTATTCTGAGAGATATCATATAACAATAAATGAATTATACAGTTAAATATCAATTATGGTCTTAAACTTGCTTTTTTTCAATGACAATATATTAAACAAAAATACAACTTATTTTAATAGTTACGAAAATTCAAAAATATAATTAATATAAATATTTATAATAATTATAAATAATTAATAAATATATATTATATATGTATTATCAAAGTTCCTTATTGTTATATTTTTCTTATTGAGTAAATACATTTTGCTTTTTGAATATATTCTTATATAATACATAACTGCTTCAACAAATTTATGATTATTAAAAATATAAGTTTTTGCGAATGAAGAAGATATTGAAACTTATGTAATTATTATATATTGCAATATTATGTACGTATGTAATCCTTCTTTGTATTAATCAAAAAGAATTCCAAGTACAAGTGATCAATTGCAAATGTGTTAAAAAATATAAAGTAATGCAAGAAAAGAGCAATTTTACAGACGATCTCTGATATTTAATTTAACGTTAGTACCCTGAAGTACTACAATAAACAATGAATAAAGTATTAAATAAAGTATTAATAAACAATAAATAAAGTACAATTATAAATAAAATATTTTTATATTAATAATATATTTATTTACTACAATAATATATTTAATAGTAGTTTTATAATAAATACGAATAAATTATAAATAAAATATTTCATAATTACCTTTCCCCTTTCTAGAGGTCCATCTAAAGTTCGTTGCATTGATGTTAAAGCGTGTACGCTACTGATCATTACTTCAGTAACTTCGAATTTTTCATGCATCAGACGAATGATAGGCGCTGCACAGTTTGTCGTGCAAGAAGCAGCTGATATTATCTTACCTTTTTTTGGATCATAACAAGTATGGTTCACACCATAAACTATCATCGGTGCATCTACAGAAGGTGCAGTGATAATTACTCTTTTAGCTCCACCATCCATGTGTAACTGTTAAACAAAAAAGATTTTCTTTCTTATATATCTGTAAAATTATATTATATATATGAACAAAAATTATAGAAAACTGATAAATACCTTTTAATAAATATTTATAATGGCATTTGTCTCGTGTAATAGAATTTTAATTTATTTTAAACAATTTTTCACGTATATATCACGTATAAATTTATTTTTATATAAAAGTTTTATTATAAAAGTTAGAAAGTTCTACTTTTTATAATAAAATATGAAATCTTAATAGAAGAAAAAAGCTTTCTAATTATAACTAGTATTACAATATATCATTATCGGAGTTTTAACTTTAAAAAAATATCAAATCAAAATACAATTATTACAAAATATAATTATTAAAAAATATACCTGCAAAAATAAGTAAAAAAATGTAAAATAAAATTTTTTCATTTAAGGCTTTATTTTTAAGAAAACAGAGTTTAAATGCGTTTAATTAAAAATTGATAATAAACGTGATCTTTATAAAATTTTAAATTCTTTATAAAATTTTAAATCTTAAGTTTCAAAAAATGAAATGTCAAAAAGTTACATTTTTGACATTCTACATTTTTGACTTATTTTCACAGATAAAATAATTCTCTGTTCATTATGTGTTTCTGATCAATTTCAGAATTGGTTAAATTCAGGTATATAGCTATTAAATTTTGAATCTCGTTTTTCTAAGAAAACAGAGCCTTAAATGAAAAAAATCTGCTCTTTATTTTCGATTTATTTTTCATGTAGAATCATTGCTTTCTTAGTTATATCTTCAATATTGGGACACCATATATATCAAAATTAGAAGCAACATTTTTCTTACGCCTGCTTTATCTAAGGTAGTGAAAAGTCCAGTAGCCTCAATTACATATGTTACACCTGCCTCTTTCCAATTTATTTTACATGGATTTCTTTCCTGGGATGTAGCTATTTTATTGTCTTTAAAAGAAAAAAATTTGATTTAAATATTACTTCTATAAATTTGAAAATCTATAATTTATTAATCGATTTTTCATACGATAATGATATTTAAATTCACTTAGCATAAACATTAGTTAAATTAATTTTTTAATGAAATATAATGTATCGATTATTGAATATACCTCCGATAATAATATATCCATTTTCACATTCTACGTGTAAAGAATAAGATCCGTGAGTCGAGTCATATTGAAATAAGTATATCATATAATCGGTTGAAATATATGGATCATTAATCAAGTTAACCTAATATAACATAATTGCTTTACGTTTGCTTGATAAACAACTAACATAAATATTAGTATATGAATGAATTTATTAATTAATTACTGTAACGTGTTTTTCAAGACAAGCACGTAAACACATTCTACCTATCCTTCCAAATCCATTAATTCCTACAACAGCCATGACTTTACGATAATGTTATTATCTAATATCACCTTAATACTACATAAATACTACATTCATATTGTAGTTATTTTATATTTTAATTCCAAGAAATGTCATAAAGTCAATAGTGCGAATTTGGATACAAAATAGTAATATATATTAGAAAGTAGCTGTCTATTAAAATTTATATGTAATAGTAATATAATTATAGTAATTTAAACATCAATAAAATCGAAAATTTTGTATTTTTATAAGCAACTATACATACATTTATAATATGCAGATGATTTATAATATAAATTATAATAAAATAATATAATTTTATGTTATTTCAATTATATAATAATATATTATTATAATATGTATATATTATATAATTATATGCCATATGCTATATATCATATTGTGCATATATTATTACGTTAATGAAGAATATATATAATGAAAAGGTGCCAAAAAGTTTAAAATTATTTGGTATTATAAAATAACATCTCAAGCATCTAATAAATTTTAATCGGGTCAAATATTACTTGAAAATATCTTTGTATAAAATTCTTAAATTTTAACAATTTATATATGCTTATTCTAATTTTCTTAATAAAAACGGAATATTGCATGAGATATGTACGTCATTTTGAAGTAATTTCAAGTAATTCAGATGTTATGTCTTAGTGATTACTTTAAATAAAATTAATAAAATTAAAGTAATATAATTTTAAAACAAAAATTGTAGGACAGTATATACTTTCGAAATATGTAACAGACTAATTAAATGATTTGCCTATTTTCACATAAAAATAATTAACTAAAAACTGATTTAGATAATTTGCCTTTTTCTAAATAAAAATGATTTAGATAATTATCTGGTTTTAAAAATTGATTTTCAATATTGGTTATATAATAATTTTTGTCATTTAAAATTTATAATAGTTAATGCATTTAAATTTTATAATAATTCGTTAAAGACTGATTAAAACGATCGGTTTATAGATTATTATAATTTATAGATTAAAACGATCAATAACAAAAGTATTAAATTAATTAATGCTTTAATTAATAATTAATAATTAATTAATAATTAAAAATCTTGTTCTTTTCTTTTTATGTAACGTGTACATACCACACATAGACATCACATATCCGGTTTTAGATACATATTATGTATTATACTCAATTTCATATCCATTTCTATTGTGCAAGATAAAACTATTGTAATTTATAATACAATTTATTTATAATTATAATTGTTTAATAATTAAAAACAAGTAGAATAAATTCCGAATGTATTTCAGAATAGATGTTTAAAGTATAATTGTATCTTCCTTTAATTGTGTATTGTAGATATTATTATTATTTTTTGCATATATTTGCTACAACCAGTATATATGAAACCATACTACGAAATAGCTTGATATTGAAAGGCAAATGTCAATATTATTACTAATTAATCCTGAAATGTTCCTGGATAAATAGTGTTATATCCGCAGTCAAGGGAGTCAGTTCATATGAAATACCGAAATGGATATTTAAACGAAGACGGGATTTACATACTTAAGGAGGTTCGACGGTAAGTGAATTTATTAAAGATAAAATATTTCCAATATTATAAAGATTATTATTACAGAAAAGTTATTAAAAAGAATTTAAAAGTTACGAAATATTTTTAACATTTTATATAGCTTGAAAAGAAGAAAAGATGAATAATTTATAATCCAAAATACAATGAATGACATATTTTAATAATATAATTAAACATGAACATTAGTTAAAGGTAACTAATTACAACATATAACTTTGAATTATATTAACTCATTAAGAACTAGTGTTGCATTGATGTTAATATTTCATTTGCCATTCTTTTTCAATCAATTTATATTATAAAAATTTTATTTTTTCATAGTGTGATTATAAGAGAAATTCCAAGGATTTGCTTATTTTATTATTGAGTTATTATATCTTACATAAATCTAACAATTTTTGAATTGATAAATTATTGTTTAATTCTTAATGTGTTAATGTAATAAATCTTACTATATGTAATAAAAATTAATCTGGACTGTACAAGGAAAATTGTAAATTTCAGAACGATTTCAAAAATTTTGATTCAAAAATGGATATTAAAAAAAATATTTTGGTTTAATTATATTTATCATAAAAGACAAATTTTTCAACAAACACATTTAATTTTGAATACATCTTTATGAGATTCAACATGATACTGTACGACAAATTTTGGATGTGGAAAATGAAACTGTATTATAATACAGAAGAAGAAAAGGAAGAAAATATTTGATATAATACAGCCAATGTTCCAATTTCATTTGAATTATAGAATGGAGTTATAAAAATTATTAAATTATGAAGTAAATTAATTATTAGCACTTGTCTCTTTAATATAAAAAAATTTATAATACACGCTCTCAAATATAAATTAAGATCATTAAAAATTAAAAATATCATTGTAATATAAATTGCAAAGAAGACAATTTTGTATATTATAAATGATATTTATTTATTTTAATGATTAGTGTTAATTTACATATGTTGCATAATTCATATTTTTTTATATTAAAAAGAAAATGGTATCAATAAATTTTAAGATCAATATATTTTTTAAAATAATCAGAAGTTATTTCTCAAATATTATTATAAAGTAAAAAGAAGCTTAATATATTATTATTATATTTGCGTTTTTAAAGTATTGCAATACTGATTAAATTTAGAAAATCGATGAAATTATGTTACACTGACTGTCTATATTTTTCGATAGTAATTGTAAATAGAACGAATTATCTAAAGTTTGTGACATAAAGATTTATTAAACTAGATAAATTTGTAGAATAAAATTTGACTGCTTTGGATGAATATTAGTCTGTAGCTAATCTCTAATTTCTTAAAAGTTTTATATTAATAGATAATAATAGATAATAATATTAATAATATTTAATATATTAATGTAGGAAATTCAATTTTGTATTTTGTCAAACGAAAATTATTAAATTACGTGTAATCTTAATATGAAAATAAGAATTTGTTCGTAATATTTATGTAGAATACAAGTCAGGAATCCTTTTCATCATTATTAAATATAATGATGAATGCTTTGTTAAGGATTTTCTGATGAAATGGTTATTTTATAAATAATATAGATTACATGTATAATATTTTAAATATTTAGTATTTTATTCATAATTTTCAATTTATTAGTTTATTAGATTACTAATTATATTGTTTATATTATTGTACATCTTTATAAAATATTTATTGTAATTTTTATTTATAAAATATATTGTAGGTATATATAAAGTTTCATGTGTAAAAAATAAAAAAAATAGCTTATTATTATTTTTAAGACAATATAATATTAAGATACATTTTTTCTCTAGTAAATTGTAAATGAATTTTCAAATAATTGTGCTAGATCTTCTTTTGACTGTTCTCGTGGTGCTAATTTTGTAATACGATTCTGAAATAATGTAAGACTAAATTAGTAATAAGAAAGATTATGTATAATTTCTTAAAATGTATGTAAGAAAGATTGTATGATCATACAAAAAGAATTATTATATTATTATGACAATTGTAAATTCGTTATATATATAGAATTTCAAAAATATGACAAATTTACTTAATTGTCATAATTCATGTATAGTGACTAATAAATCACTATTACAAATTCATTTAACTTTTCTCTATATCCCATATTTTTTTAATAGAAAATAATCTTAAAATGTTTGATTTAATAAAATTATTTTAAAATATAATTACAACATAACTAATATGCCATTAAATAAAATAATATATAACTATAACATATAATATAACTACAGTAATATAGTTATATAGTTATATTTTTTTATTTAACGGTAACAAATGTCTTATAGAAAGAAAGTATAAGATCATGGTTTTATACACACGTGTTCTGACAAACGAAACATCTAAGAAATCTAATTTTTTATAAGAGTTTATATATTTAATTGTTCTGATATGTTTATGCATCAAAAAATGCATCCACTGTAATCATAATAATGGATCTTACTTGTGGTAAAGTGCCTTTAACTAACGTAGGTATATCTTCAGTTTTGAATCCCAATTCGGCTAAACCATTTTCAATTTTCATCATTTGCATATATTCTTTTACAGTATCTGCTAATATTTTTCCAGCATCACTCTTCTTAGCTCGGCTAATATCAGTGCCAAGTAATTCAGCGGCTTCTAAATGTCTTTCTGGACACGCCCGTCCAAGAAAAGAAAATACAGCAGGCGCTGACATAACAACTGAAAGACCGTGTGGTATTATAGGATGATTCTTGCTATAATCCTACAATAAATAATATATTAATATTAATTTATAAATAATACAATCTAATTAGAAATATTTAGATAAATGTAATTAACTTTGTGTAATATATAGACAAAAATATAACTTAGTCAAAATAATTATTTACTGTTTATATAGCATATTAAAATATAATTTTGATGTCACTAAAATACTAATTATTCTAATGAATATATAATTCTTAATTATAAATGAATAATGAATTTTTCGTTAATGAATATTTTTTTTAGTTTTTATATAATTTTACATTTCTTTGTTAATAGAAATATTTGATATATTATAAAAATAAGATATGTCTAATAGAGTATTTATACTGTTTTATAAGAAAAATAAAAAAGTAAGAAAAATAAAATATACTTTTTAAAGTTATTTAAATATTAATTGTAAGTTTAATATTAATAATTATTAAATTTTTAATTTATTATTCTATTATACCTTAGGTTGAAAACTTCGCACATTTCCACTAATAGAATAAGATAGTGCATGACAAAGGTGAACTCCAGCATTACCAAATCCAACACCTGCCATGGTACTTGCAAGATGCATGTTACTTCTGGCTTCAAGATCATCTTGATTATATACTGCTCTTTTAAAATATCTGTGTAAAAAAAAATAAGTAAAAATAGTAAACTGTTCAATTTTATGCAATTTTTATTTTATTATTAATTTAATTTTAATAATTAAAAATAATGAAAATACAAATAAAACT